TCTTAAACAACAATGCACTTTACAAAGTGATATTCAGTCACGTTCCACAATCACTGGAACAGCAAGAAGGACACAGATTGTCTGTAAATGTACAATAGCTGGATTAACTGATGGTGAAAGATATTGTTGAACCCATAATATGCTCTCAGTAAGTGAAAAGAAATGTTTTTGTGGGCAAAAGAACTGATGGGTAAACACCTACTGCACAACCATTTAATTATGATCTAAATGTCATTGCTTCCTCCTTGTCAGGTTTTGTCTGAGGAAGCCAATAAAACAATCGTAAAATTAAATCCCATTCATGTGCAGATTATCCTTAGACACTCAAAGTCTATTGAATTAATAAATTTTTAATACAAACCAAAAAAAAAAAAAAAAAAAAAAACCCAAAGCATAATAATATGGTTTCAGAGAATATGGAAATCGAGTTCAATTACCAAAACCAATAATTGCTGGAATGATCTCTTCTAAGTGTGGTGATTTTGAATATAACAGCATAGGTTTCTTTTATGTTTGGCTGTATACAGTAATATGTCTGTTCCACATTGCTACATGGTTTGCATATACTGTAACATAGTTTCATGCATATGCTATACTTCAAAAAGCTTTTGCTGGCTTGTAATGCTTAGTTAAGGTGATGTAGATTTACAAAATATTCTTTTTATGGGGATATTATGATTCCAAAGAGAATGGAAGTTGAAATCGAAGCTAATTGTCAGTGAAAGTTTTGAAACAAATAATTATGACATTACAATTATAACAAATATTTAAAAACATGGAAACATATCCAGGAATCCTATTCATAGTATAGGTAACAGAACACATGGATGTAGTGCACATAGTCAAGAGTGGGGTGCTTGTCTATACATTGATGCTGGGCAGAGCTTCTCTCAGTTGGGCACCTTAGGCTCAATTCTGAGAGAGGCTTCATACAGGCCCTCTTCCTCCATTACTGAGCTTCTGTCCAGTAAATACAGCGCTGCCTGCAAGAAAAATATAGGATCAGTTGCAGATGCACAGTTTTTCATCAATCAAACTAACAAAAGTGGTTCACCGCAGTGAATGGTTCATTTATGATGACATTCCACTGCATGGTGAGCTACGGATCAGAACTTTCCAATGCATTCTGCACCCATTTATTTAAGGTCCAGTTAAGGAGATTAACAGAGACAATACCCATGCATACAAGCTAAATGGCTTGTAAAAGTGGCATTTAAAATTATTTTTAAAAATAAGCGATAATTGACTTGGAGCGATATCTGGTTGCTAGGGAGAAATAAATCATGTCATTAAAAGGTAGCTTTCTCACTATGAGTGGTATTTACAAAACTCTGTGTCACTAGCATTTTTTGGTGTTGAGATATAGACATGCTGATTTGGTTGCTAGGGTAAGTCATTTCTACGTAGGAGTCAGTGACTGATTATAATATGTCAATATTATAATATGACCGTATACCGATATTATATTGTGTTTTCTGTGGCACTATAAGTAAAATAACGCAACACACACATCTCTAATCCTTTCCAAAGCTGGGAGAGAGATATGCTAAATTGGTTGCTATAGTAAACTGTATGATTTCTATGTGGGTTTCAGTGACATAATATAACGTTCCTTTTGTCACTGTAAGTATAATATAAATATTAAATATATTTAATAAATAAATATAAATATATATATGTAAGTTAGGTAAGTCAACCCATAAGTCTCTATTATTTACCAAAGCAGAGACAGAAATGTTGTTTGCTAGAGTAAACAGTTTGTTTGCTGGGGAGTTTTCAGTGATGTTAAAATTTAAGTTGTTACTGTGAATAACATAAACAAACCCTCATTTGTTTATTATGGTTTTTTTTTTATAATGTTTAATAATTGTTTTTTTCTGTTGCATTTTCCCATTCATTTTCTACGGCCATTGTAAGTAAATCGTAAATCTTTAACCTTTTCTAGAGCAAGGGGTTGACATAATTTTGTGCAGTGCTTGGTATTTTCTTGCATAGACTAGTACCCTCTACAAGTGTGGCCAGTTTTAAGTTCCCATGACGTTATCTGTGTGAGTTGCAGTTTTCCAAATGTTGACACCATATTAAGTCAATGGAAAATTTAACAGCATTCTCAGTGATTTCCCATAATTCCTTTAGAAGTCTGAAAAGATATAGCAACTGAGTAAATTTGGATGTCTTGGCAAAGTTTGATGGCTGTAGCTTGAGCAGTCTAGGAGGAGATATGTTGGAAGTTTTTTGTCGAAGAACAATATGTTGGCCAAAATAATTGCTATGTCACTTACCTAAACAATTTCCAGCTTGTCAAACTTTTTTTTTATTACATTTTTTAAGGGTTGAAATAAAATATGAAAAGAGCTGAACACAACCCGCTTCAAATACGAATGTTTTAAATTGTTACAAATGAACAAGAGTTCAGTACCTTTGGCTGGGAATCGATCTTGTACGCTGTTTGCTGAAACTGCCTGATTTCTCGGATGATATGGGAAATCTGTACAATTAAATTTGTGATTAAAAGGAAAATTATATGAGCTATATGAATAAAAAAATAAAATTTTATAAAGCTGACCATTCTCATCTTGGAGAAATTAACCAGGTTGTCTTCAGTGTAGTTGGGAGTCCCCTCTTCAATAAAGGCCAAGTCAGTGAGGTACATTCCCAAATATGGCACGCATGGAGGGTCACAACTATACAAAAGAAGAGTTATATAAAGTGTAAGAATAATACTATTAGAAATTGTTAAAAACAAAGTCTATAAATGTAATTATATAACCACTGACAAAATAATCAGAACACTAGAAGTGTAACAATGTATCATTGAAAAATACATCACGATACAAAATTGTCACAATACGTATTGCGGAGTTACTGAGATATATTGTCTAGGAGCTGAAGTGCATTTGCTTCTTAGAGTGATGGTGCTTCTAGTTACTTCTGAAACTTCTTTACCCTTTTGGTTTTATTTACTATTTACAGGAGACAATTATCCTTCAAAAACATTTTAAATGAGAAACATTACAAAACAAGCTCTCTCAACACTCTGGTGTCCAACTCTCTGTAGTGTTTTCTGCTGAAAAGCTGAACACTGTAGCATGGGTGTCTATTGGAACTTCCTCCCTTTTGGAACCAAAGGTCACTTCCTGTTACTCATCTAAATGGAAAGTGGTTCTCAACCAGGGAAAAGTGGCTTGCACCCTCCAGTTTGGAGTAGAATTCTTTCTTCAAGTGGAAGGGTTCAAATACCTTGAGGATTTAGACAGCTGACAGATGGATTGGTGCCAATTTACCAGTCAATCTACATTCCTGCTGTATGGTAATGATCTGTCATGATATAAGTGGCTGCAATAACCTTTTTACCAAAGTGTGAAGAGGCATTATGTTAGAAATCTCCACATCTGTGAAAGATGTGCCTTTGATGGGCCTCCTATGAAGGTGTAGTATACATCTTGAACAGGAGGCCCTGAGGAAGACCAGGATAGGCTGGAGTTTTTAAGCTAGTCTGGCAACTCCCTGTATTCTCTCTTTAAGGCTGTAGGAACTGTCTACCGAAAGTCCCTACACAGTCAGCTGCTCCATGACTAAGATAAATTGGAGGAAAATGAATGTATAAATAAAATAAAATACTCCAGATGTCTTTCAAACGAATACACATATTGATTTAAGGATGAGAACTTACTTTTTCAAGGCCTCTCTGAGATTCTTGAACCTTCCTTCAGACGAGACCAACTTCTGCAGCTTATCTATGACTGTCTTTGTCTGTTGATTTAAACAAAGTTGTGTTTAAAGTTATGTTTTTTTTTCTTAGAAATTACAGCTGCTTAACAGTTTTATCTCATTGCATTTGACATCTTGTCATTCTCTTTCTTTGTTCTTATATTTGATCAGTTTTGATCAGGTTTGGTACTCACCTGCTTGGACACTTTGAGCCAGGTTTTCTTGAGACGGAAGATGGAGCTGCGATTGAGGGAGGAGGTGATTTCCAGCACAGCATTGTAGTTATGGAGACAGCGGCAGATATCGGCCACCGCCACCCACTTCTCTATCACAGCTACACGGACATTCACATCCTCACTGCGCAAGATCTCTGTAGCAATCAGGTCACTTATCTTTAAAAGAGGGACAGGTATATAGTAAGTCTTCTTTAAACAGTGCAACAGTGCAAACACACAAGTTTCACGAGTGAAACATTGCCTTCAAATTGAACACTCACATCATTGAAGTGTTTTGTCGTTTTCATTATGTAAGGTGTCTTTTCATTTTTATCTGTCTTCATCCAACCTTGGCCAAAAAACTCTCTGTAAATTAAATCAAAAACATTTTACATTTAATTTCTAAGAACTAAAGTTAAACCGAACCCTTCTTTTACCCCCTGCTTTCAAATGTTTCTCCAAAAGTGCACTTGATCCAAATAGGACTGCATCAATAAATATTTGTTTCTTTATTTCTGTGGTCAAAAAGATTGAATTGAGTTGGAAATCTGAGTACTCACTCATATGGTATGACTTTGAAAACCAGGTGGTCCAGCAGAGTGAGCTGCTCTGCAATCTCCAGAGCTGAATGATTCTCGAAAGCCTCTGACTTTCCTCCTTCAGCCTACGGAACAAAACAGAAAGTTATTTTCACCACAGTTTAAAAATAATTGTTAAGGAGGAAAACACATGTTATATACCCATTTAAATATTTTCTAAATAAGATTTTCCTAAGAATGGATTGAATCTAGTAATTAAAAATGCTGGATAAAAACCTGCAAAACACTAAGCAAATAAAATGTTGTTATGCTTGACATAAAAGGGGTCATGAACTAAGAGACAAAACAATATTTAGACATGAATGAGCTGATGGCACATTGAAAAAGTTTTAGAACTTTTACTTTACACTCCATTTTTGCATGTTGTTTGTTTCAATTTTATTGTTGCCAGCCATGGATATGACATTTACATTTGGCAGACGCTTTTATCCAAAGTGACTTACATTTCAGCCAATTAACATATTCCATTAATTCTTGCTTTCCCTGGGGTTTGAACTCATGACCTTTGCAGTGCTAGTGGAATGCTCTACTGACTGAGCCATAGGAAAGCTATCATCACTACAAGGTAGTCTTAATTTACCAAAGACTGATGTAACTCTTGCTCCAAAGGGCAAAGGGTGTACAGTGGTAGAGTTTTGGAAGTGGCTGAAAGTAAAGACTTGATAGAACCTAAACTAATGAATAATGGAAACGTTGTAGGCATTGATCATTGGTTGATCACCACCAACAAGACGCGGAAAGGAACAAGACTGTGTTAAGGTGTCCACCAAAGATCTGTGGTGGTGAATATTTGGCTCATGGGTCTACTCCAACTCCAGAGCATCATCGGCAAGGTCACAAAACGGCTCCAGCTAACACTCAGGTACCGTATCCATTCATGCCTCCTTTCTGCAAAAGTGTGTTTAAGAGGAACCAAAGAAGCTGGAGATCCTTGAGGTTGAGATCGTCCACACAACTGCAAATGGGTGTCAAGAGCCAAAACAATCAGGACTCGTACCAATCACGATACCAACTTGTCACACACCTCCTAGCTCTCCTCACATCCCTTTATCAGCACCCATCTCACCTCTGCTCGCTGTCTGGTCCATGGGTAGCACAAACACTCAATGCCTCTACACACTGATGCAAATTGAGATTCGCACAAATCTTCGGATGGCTTCTCAGCTTCCAAAACATTGGATCAACAATTTATTCCGGCACTCCCCAATACTGGAAGATCCGATCACCAAGGTTCTACTCTACTGAAATCTGTGACAACCTACCCCATCTTGATCACCTGTCAATTCCTCCGACGTCTTCATCTGTGAACTCTTCACCTTTGTTTACTTGGCTCCATTTCCTGAACATCTGGTTCCTGTCCACTTCCTGGTATGGTCAACTACATTTGTTCACATGTGCCTGTAATTCCTTCATAAAGAAAGTTTGACTTCTGTGTAGGTCATTGTTCATAAACTTTGGTTGTTAACCAACACCCAGTTGCATTGGCAGCGTGACAGGAGCCATCTGAAGAAATTGATTTTGGCTTTCTGTGTGGCAAGTTGTGTCTTTCCCTTTGTTTACTGATAATGTTAGCAGGAGTAACGATGCAGTTATCTTCAAGTATTGTGTTTCTGTAACTTAGTTCACTTTAACATTGTATAAAAGCCATTACAAACATTCTGGGTTCTGAAAGTTCTCCTGTAACTTTATTGTTCCATCAGCTCCTATGTAAAAAGTTCATGACTCTCAATTGAGAAATTCTTACTAGCGGACCTTAATAAAATGGGACAAACACTGTCCATGACCCCTTTAAGGATTCTAAAAGTAGACTTGAATTCCTCAAAAGTAAAAACGAAAAACACTGATGCTTTTTAAACATGGAAGAACACCAGATATCTGAAGTGTCTTGTTCAACATATTCACAACATATTTCCACAATATACACACTTCGTTTTTCATGGCTGAAATCATGGTTGATTTGGAGAGGGACTAAGATTTCACACTTACCAACTGCAGCACCTCTTCCAGACAGATCTGATTGTCTCCTGGATCCTCCTGTGTCAATGTTCTACAAAAAAAGAACAAATCTACCATCATTAAATGTTATTTAGTACTGGGAGATAGAGTTAGGTGAATATATTAATCAAATGTTCTTCATAAATGTCAGATTAAGAGTCTTGAACGCTTGTGTCTCCAATTGGATGTGCAATGGTGTAACCTTCAGTTGGTCAAACATCTGCTGATGAATAAATATGAGCAGATGTCTCTAACCACGGTGACTAAAAGGATGACATTGCACTCCATATTTGGATTCTTCATGCAAATTGAATAAAAGAGTGAAATAACCAGTTAAAGAAAATTCAGCATTTCAAATCTTGCTTTTGATCTATTTTTCTTGCCAACTGCAACTTTAACGTGACATAAATAATACAGAAAGGCATCTATATACTGCAAAATATTCATAATCGTCAGTCTCAAAACTGATTCAATGCATTTGCCACAGGGTATGCAGGATAACTTACCTAATGATGTTGGCTGCAGCCTTTCTTTCTTGGGTCAGAAGTTCAGGATCATGCATCACTTCCTCCAGGAAACTTATCACCTTCATCTTGAGCTCGGTGTTAGTTTCAAAGTCCTGCACAAACCGCAACAAATACAAAATAAACGAAATGGTTCACTTTGTGTGTTTCCAATGTTTTACAAGACTGGTCAAATGATCAATCGCGGTGGAGTCAAAGTTATTTTAGATTTTTTTCCAAGATTAAATAATTTTGAACTTTTTAATAAATACATTTTTCCCAAGCATTTTATGAACCTGATATGTCTTATTAAAAACTAATTTAACATGTTGATGTTTTCGAATGAACATCGTATTAAAGGTCATAGTTGACCTGTAAAGGGACATTTTCTCTGAAAAATGTTTTCTCTCAGTGCGCAAGTTTACGTTTAATTTAGCCGATTGTTATGCATTGTTATAGCTCTATGAATAATTAAGAAAATGACCATTTTTGTTTGTACGTAGATGTCACGTTTTGACAAGAAAAGTGTCAGAAAGTTTTCTTTAATTTTTGCACAATCCTGAGGGTTAGATTGGACCCTCAAGTGTGAAAAACAAAGATGTGCTCATTAATATTAATGTATCTTTGTGAACAATTCATTCTTTTGGAACAATTCTTCAAAGTTAATCATGAACGATGGTTCTTTTTGGAGAGTAAATCACTCATTGACATATGTGCAGTGACTACATGCTCTCAGTACCAAATGAACAATTGATTTGTTCTTTCGGGTCTTGACATGGGTCCTTGACCATTTGATCATTCATAATGTGACTTCGTAAGCTATTCCAATGCTCTAAAAAACGAATGAAGAATTGATTTGTTCTTTTGGGCCCTGACATTCATCACATGACTGCTCAGAATACTATTTTTATGCTTTCATATTTATAGAAACAATAAATAAATAAACAAAAGCATAGAATAACAAATAAATGGATGAATGCTTAACCCTTAGAGGTACAGGGCATTTTGAGCATTTTATTTTTACTATTTTACAATTTGCTCTAATAATTTATCTTTAAAATATTTTGTGGCTATGCTTGATATCATTTTTAATACAACCCCAGGTCCAAATATCTTTTATATTATTTTACACAATCATTCCACAATAAACATAAAATTGCACAAAAATGCAACATTTTACTGCAAAAACGTGGAACAAAAGTGTTAAATAAAAATTCATAAATCCCTTAAAATTCAGAGATGGTCAAAACAATGTGAAAATTGTATTAAAATTTACCTCCAAAACCTTATACATTGTTCAAAAGCACTTTTTGTGCCAGAACTTTGGAAAACACTAGCCATATCACAGGTCTTGCACTTGTTATCACTTCTTTTCACCACTAGATAGCACTGATGGCAACGTTTTATGGTGTGTAAAATGAAGATGATTGTGCGATTTATCACAATGTAATTTGCATTAAGTTATTTAATAACCTTTTTGAAACCTACACATTATATTTGACATCAAAATTTAACAATCCTGTAATGGACTGGAGACCTATCCAGGGTATACACCCGCCTCTCGCCTGATGTGGACCAGCAGACCCCCGTGACCCCAATTGGAAATAAATGCGCATGAAAATGAACGAATGACAATAGGTGGGTCATGTCTTTTCTACTTAATTTCAAAACAGCTGCTGTGATTGGCACATGCACTGGTGCTACGAGAGACTTCTAAACAAACAATAAAACACAATAATAAATAAATACATATAAATATATGATATCAATATATTTCTAAACACACATTCGTTTTTTATTTTCCATTTTCTTTTTTGATTATGGATTATTAGACTACGTTTACAGGGCTTGTCACAAACTTGAAACTTGAGAAATGACCGAATCATTTCCGTTTATGGATTGTCAGGTGATAAATTGAACAAACCAAACCAGAAAATCAAGACATAAATCTGAAACTTGGCAGACCATTCGAGGTGATGTGAACTCATCAGGCTAAAAATCCAGGCAATCACAGATTTGTTTGTGTGTGTTTGTGTGTTTATTTGTTTAAAAGACATTATAGTTCTAGATCAGGGGTGCTCACACTTTTTCAGCTTGCGAGCTACAATCAACAAACAATTATTTCCAACTTTATTGAGAATTGACAAAACACACATAATAATTATTATTTACATTTTTTGTAATAACCTGAGTTTAATTTGATGACTTGCACTGAATTGAATCATTAGAACAGTTTTGTGTGACCTGAATTGATGGTAATAGAGTGATTTTTATGGGAGCTATTGAGCTTTGATCCAAATAATAGAGAATAAAAATGATGCCCTAATAAATATTTCAATATTTATTGAAACTGAGTCGTGCAATATACAGGTGAGGAGTGGCGTGTTGCTTGTTTTTGGTTCTAATAGAGAAATTTAGAATTAAGTTATTAATTATATTCTGGGTAAAACTATATAATTCTGGAAAAAATATTCTGGATCTGTGTCGTAAATGTGGTTTTCCGAGGGTTGATCTATTAGCAGAGAGAGGCCGGTACACAAGGCTTCTTCACAAACCAGGTCTTTATTGTGCCACCCGTGATCAAACAAAACCGACATAAAACAGCAAATAAACAAAAAGGGTCTACAAACAAAACACTTGAGCTCAAAACACAAATAAACAAATGCTCAACAGCAAAACCTACTTAACTTAAACTGTGAGGGATTCAAGATAAACTAACTAAATGTAGAAGAGTGAACTCTCTCAAAAGAGTAAGGTCCCAGATGCCAGGCTACAATATTTGGTGCAGCGTCCACAGCTCGTCTCTCTCCTTCCCTCAATGAGTCCTCACGAGCACTGACAGCAGGCCCTTAAATATGGCTGGTTTCCCAGCATGCCAATTGGACCAAACCATCAGCAGGTAAGTCCACCTCTCATATTCTCTAACAAGAATGTTTAACTTACTAAATTATACATCATAAGGTTTTAATCATCCTAAAACTTAAACAAAACAAATGATAACAATCAAATAAATGGTCAAAACAAATATCCCACAAAATACAGACCATGTTTT